CTAAAATCTTCTGCTCATATGTACTATAATCTAAGTCGTTTAATCGCTCACCCCATAGTAGTTGTCGACCAAAAGGTTGGTAACCCACTAGAGCTCTCGACATGACTTCTTTAGTCACAAATTTAAAGAGGAATTGGTAAACAGGGCAGCCCTGTCGTACAACACTATTGAAAGCGAAAGACGAAGAAATCTTGCCATAGACTCTCACGCTGCCGGAGAATTTCAGATAGAGTGCACGCAAAGTATCGATATACGTATCCGGGACCCCCTTCCTTAGCGAGTAACGCCATAGCGCAGGTCGATCAACCGATTCGAATGCGGCACGGATGTCTAAGAATGCAAGCATGGTAGGCGTTTACTAGAGGTAGCAGATTTCCAAGGATGACGGAGAGTGAAGATTTGATCCACACACACACACACACACACACACACACACACACGACCGGGTTGGAAACCAGCTTGTACTTCCCGGTACTGTGATTCACGAATCAGGGATTGTCTACGATGTAGAATGGATGTCAATAGCTTGGAGGAAACCAAAATGAGACTGCTCCCCAGTGATCAGTGAATGAAGTGCGGACACCCTTCTTAAAATTCGAGACAATAACGGACTCATCTTAAGAAGAAGGTGCCTCATCTTCATGCCAGAATTTGGAGAACATCAAGGTTAGCTGACTGATGATAACTATATTACCATATTTGAAGACTTCCGGAGGAAGTCCGTCTGAGACAGCAACCTTGAATCGCTACAAATGACAAATGGCTAGCCAAACCGCAGCTTCGTCGGATGGATCAAGTCTAAGAACCCAGGGCGAGCGGCTGGGTGCGCAGGGCATGACAGTGACAGAGTGGGGCAACGGAACTGGAAATGGACATATTTAGCCCATCGATCCAATCGTCTCTGTAAGTCAGCAATCGGCGAACCGACAGTTTCTCAAATAGTCCCACTGACACCATGGCTCCAGTGGCCAGTGGAACAAATAGAATGGAAGAGGTTGTGAGGATTGCCTGGCAGGGTAGTGACCTCCATTTCCGAAGCACCCTGAGACCATTAGGTTTCGCGGTTATTGCGTAGGCTTTGTTCGAGCTACCGACTGCCAGAACGGCACACTTCATTAGAATTTGACTCCGCTTTGATATGGCTGAGGTGGAGATCGAGGCCTACATCGGGGGCTGAGTAAGACTGCAGATTAACTGCCAGGAAGCTATCGTGGTCCTCTGTATGAACGTCAAGCGAAAATTCATATCTTGCGGTGCGTCGTACCTGAGTGCATCGGATAATTCCCAGCGACATAGAGTAGGCCAGTCCTCATTGTGGCTTTGCAAACACGGTTTTCAGACCGTGGAAACCATTTTCTGACACCACAGAAGTCACAATTCAAGGAAGCAAGTTTTGGCTTTTGCACTAATTGTAAGGATTTCATTTGTTATGCCCTATCAATGTTGATGCAGCTGCCACGGTAAGTGAATCGATCAACCACCACAAGTTTCGCGCTAGCAAGGGTCAAGGGGTCATCAAAGGGATGGTAGTCTTAAAACAATACACTTTGAAGGTGCGAATGGTGTACCAAATGCTGGGATCATTCTAAAGAGAATGTTCAGGTTTAATTAAGCCGCCCCAGCATCGTTAGACAGCAAGACAATATCGTCCGCAAAAGTAAGCTCAACTAGCTTTCCACCAGGAAGTACCTCAAGATCTGAATCGTGAGATTCCTCAACGGAACACTCCATGACGGAGTCCACGCTAAGTTGAACAAAAATGGGGAAATCATTCAAGGCTGACGAACGCTACTTATTTTCGGAAAGATAGCCAATACGACTTTGTAGAGTTTGACGCACCCTGTCGTGTTCGAGTACAGGGCACGTAAAATAATTACATATTTCCTGGGAACACCTTCCCGCGCAACTATTTCGTGCAGAATGCATCGAGAAACTGAATCGAACGCATTCGCGAAGTCTAGGAACACAGCTAGTGTCGGTCTGCAGTATGGGCGGCGCTGCTCCATCACCTGCTTCAGAGTGAAGATATGGTCTATACAGCCCCGTTTTGGGCGGAATCCTGCCTGCTCTTTCCTAATCCGGGACACCCGTTTCGCAGTAAAGCAAAAAACGGGAATCGGGGCCAGTAATTTTGTCACCACCGGCGTTAGCTTAATACCTTTGTGGTTATCACAGTCTGTGCGACTGCCCTTCTTGTATATTTCCACTTCAATCTATTCACTCCATTTAGCCGGGATGTTCTTTTGCAACGCGTTTCCTCCGACGGAGCCACTAAACTAACCAGCCATGGATCAGCCTGCAACACCTGAATAGAAAAAGGTCCGAAAGCAGGGAGCCAACTGAACTAATCATGAAAGTGTTCCGCTCAACGAGCCATACGGCGCTGCATATTGGGAACCCTTGCACGCGCGTTGTCTCTGATTGTCTCACTGACACCTGGTTTCCTGGTGCCATTGGTGTGGCTCTGTTGGAAGCGCTTGCGAGGACTGCCTACTACTCCCGTCTCTCCATTTCTTGAGCCCACTTAGTCCACCAGGCTTCCTTGCCAGCCCGCAAGCTCCGCTTTAGTTCGCGCTAATAGTCCGTCTGGTCAGATTGCGCTCGCAGCCATCCGGGAGCTTTCTTCTGGACTCCAACAAGTTCACTGACCTTTCGGATATCCAGTAACTGGTGCGGTGACGTCTGCTAATACCACAGGTAGAGGCTCCTATCTCGTGCATGACGGCCGAGATGCTATCCCATTGAAGCTCAGTATCATTAGGACAAGAGAACGTAAGTTCGGTACGTAGGGAATACTGATAGGCTTGCCCGATTGTGGGCTGAGATAAATTATCAGTTGCCGGTCAAAGGAGACGCTTGGTACTCGACCCGGTAAAGTTCATGGAGAAACGACAACGTAGCAATGCATGATCAGAGTCGACGCAGGTACTCCAGAATGCCACCACTGCCTTATGGCAATTCGGTCTATTTGGGTCCACCGCTGGCCAGCTACAGGAGGAAGACAAGTGGCAATTCGGCGACCACTGTGTCCAATAGCAGTACTACTAGGACACATCTGATGTTCCGTGGGCAGTGAAAACAGACGTTCGGAGTTAAGCCCATACTTACCACCTAGCTGAGCTTCTAAAGAGTCCATGCGACCTACTCGTGCATTCATACATACTGCAAGTACGATGACATCTGAACTGGTAGCACTGCGAATGTGCGTGTTCAGTTCGTGGTAGATTGTGTCCTTAATAGCATCAGAACTGCAGTCATTGGGGGTATAAGCGGAAACCACAAACAAACAACGTCTTTTACTCCTTCGTGAATCATCCTTAGATAATTCCATCAAACGGGTTGCATAGAAACGGCTGCTTACGGGAATCCAATAAATCAACCATAACTCAGTCATCGAGGTGAGAAGGTTGCCCACCTAAGCATGACCGGTGGTTTGCGCGTCAGCATCTGTGGATGCTAGCAACTAACCGCGAAAGGACAAACCGGACGCGGTTAATTCAACAACCTGCTGATGGTCATTGATTCCAGTTTCAGATACGCAACACATGTCAATACCCAGTGCGTCCAACGTGCGTGGGAGGGCAGTCTGTTAATCTAATTGTTTTAGAGTGCGAACGTTGAACGCCACCAGTGAAAAAGACAGTGTGTTCTTAGAAAGGTCTGTTGGCGATTGGCATCCAGTGGGTGGTTCAGGAAGATAAGTGCATATGATGCGACTCCAGCGATATTGCGGCTGCTGTCATTTAAACTCGGGATTATAGAAGAAAGGATGGTAATTGTGGTAGGGAGGAGAGTAAGAGAAACAGGTGGAAAAGAAAGAAGGTAGGCGCCAGCAGTAGCATGTTTCGCTTATCCGCCCCGCTGTATACAGCTGGTAAGGCGACCTTTGATAATCTGCGCGACGGGCGATGCAGGATGCGGTTGAAGATGGAAGAAATAGTCACGGTTGTACGGGGGCTAGGAGACTGCCAGGGCACCCAGACCTAGACCGGATGACGATTAGGGCACTCAACCAAAGCATTTGGCTTAAAAGCCTATCAGCAAGGCAGCGGGGAGGTAGCAATGATTTAGTTTTACAGAAATGGACGTCATCCTATTTCAAACCTTTAATCTGGAGGACCAAGAGTCTGAGTTTGTCTGACTTCTAACCATTGACCAACCTGGTAGGAGTAGCTCTCAAGGGGCGCGGAGGCACCATCCAGTATAGCTCAATAGGTCAAAGAGGTACGCAAACCTTCGCACCACGTTAGAATCCAGTCTGCGGTGGAACACCAATAGGTGCGCGAAAACTTTGACCGTTCATGTTTGTGATACACGGATTCTACAGGTTATATAGCTTTCCGTGCTGGTAACTATGTCCGAACTATGCACCGCATTCCTATCGCTCTGACAGAAAGGCAGTAAAATACTACCATCGTTGGCAACCGTTGATTCTAGCATCGACCTAATGGTTTGCACACACATAATTGTTATCAGGAGGATAATGTATACGTGTGCGTGCAGAACTGTGGTCGATTTCAAGGGAACCACATAACTTCAGATTAACATACGATATCTGAGCGTTGTAGTTTAACGTCAGTATGAAACATGGCCCTTAGGTACGTGGACACAGGCACACAGTAATCCTCAAAAATGTTACTTCAGATTGCAAACAAATCCTGCTCCTGGTCAAAGAATTAGATTCTTGCAGCTCAAAAGTTGGCGTCGATTTTTAGAGTCCTATTCTCGGTTTTGACGGAGTTCCGTTGGTTTTCAAGTAACCGAGTTGCGGTAATCGAGTTGCGGTAGATGCATAAAAATTTGCCCAGTGCAGAGTGTAAAGCATTTGGGTCTCAGTTACTTTGTAATTGTAACAGAACCAGTTGTTTTTCCTGGCAGCTGGCAACGCGAATGGCCTTTATACTGAAACGCATTGACGACAAACCAGACGAGGATAAGTCTCTAAACTATTGCGAAAGCTTGAGTTGCTAACAGCTTGACACGTAGCAAAAAGAAAATCTGAGTAACAAAATGTAATGCGCGAAGTATAATTACTGTACAATAGGGGCATAATCTGTCTGTTGTTTCGTAGTTATAAACCCTTGATCAAGACTAGAGGCAACTACTGGTCGAGATTCGGTTCGCGCCTGAGTGATACACCTTAGAAATGGGGAAGACACTTTGGTAGAAGTTCCTCGAATCAGCCGCATTCCGTTCTGTCCGGTGCTTGGGGTCCGCCTACCTGTTCCCTGGATCTGTTGATCCCGCTGCGAACCGTTTAGCAACTGCCAGTCTGTCCGATTGTCCGACGCGCGATGCGGTGTTTTCCCGTATGATCCAGCAGAACTGGGTCGCGGCAACTGATCACAGCCTTGTCTCTGTTGGAAGTTTGGCGTTTTGTTACAGTAGCCCGTTGGAGTGCCTGGTTCTATGGTTGACCACCGCACTTCAGAGGATTCTCTGTCCCAGTATTCCACCACCCATCGAGGAATATATACACAGTGAAGGCCGTCGTTTCTCACCAGCCTGTAGGGACAAAACAGCTGGAGAAAATGTCTCCGGAACTTTCGGCTGAACAGGTAGTATAAAACCAGGTTGATTGCTGAGTTAACCACAATTAAAAGGTTTCCAATCTCATTCAGAAGATACCATGACAACTTCTTCGTATCCTTAAGAGGAATCAAACTCCAACTGAAATGACTAATGGCCGCAGGAATCTGAAGTGAGAGGATAAAAGGTCTTCTAGTTCAGGGAAGACTTTAGTAAAATCTGTAAAACATTCAGCACGCGGCTGCTTGAGGTTGCTTAACAGCCAACATCATTAAAACATTATCTGGTGTTTATTTATTGCGCTTGCCAACACAGTATGATTTACTCGGTGACGGGTTGCAAATGTGTGACTATGTTCAAAATCTGAGAAGACGAATGAGAAGACGAAGTTCGGCAGATGCATGCATTTCGTATCGTCTCATCAGTGCCGATAACGGTAATCAGCAATTTTATACAACAGTTTGTCGGTGCAGACATGCATATAAACAAAGGAGGAAGAGACGGGGTGTCTTGCTTCTACAATCACGGCAGTCTGCGCCGACCGATGATGATGGCCGATGAGAGTGACCAGGTGGAATTATTTTAATTATGCCAAAATCCCCACTACTCATTAGTGCTATAAAATCTGTCCATAGAGCTTCTAAGTCCTATGTTGTACATAGATGCCATGCGAAAAGTCCTATCTTGTGGGGCTAACTACTGTCCTCTGCACAGTTCGTAGCTGACATGGCAGTGAAACATGAGTCGGGCTATATCATAGCCAACTGGCAATCACGCAGGTCCGCGGCTGTCATCCATGCCGAAGTCACACTAGCTGCTAGCATCCAGAAGTCGTGGGGTCGGAACACTGCAGGGTCCGATGTAAGGCGTACCACTGACGAGACTCAGAAGGTCGAAACAGCGCTGTCTGGTACTTTGCAAGACTTGCTAAAGCTTGCTGACTGAGAGTGGATCATGATGAATTTTATCTGAATTATAACAAAATACCCACTACTCAGTAGTAAGATAAAATCTGTCGGTATGGCTTCGAAGCCGTATGCCGTGTATAGCCGCTGTGCGAAATGTTCTAGCTGGTGGGGCTAACTGCTGACCGATAATTGTTTTGCACACAATGTAATGCCTTAATCCGATTTATAGCAATGGCCTCGGCGAATCGGAGGAGCCGGAAATTGTTATGGCGAAACAGAATTCTAAACGCCTTGTTGACCTCAATTCAGTGACCCGAGGTCAATAAGGGTCTACCGATAGAAGGTTCCGGCAGATTGCGCACACAGGTAGTCCGAATTGGGCTTGCTTGATGCATAATCTCGCATTGAACCCATTTTGTCACATGATCCTTCATTCGGGCACCCAGTGCTCTATTGGTCCTGCCTATGTAACTAGCTCCGCAATTACACAGGAATTGGTGTGCGCAGTGGAAGTTGGCCCCAATAGGCTGAGTTTCCTTCAGTGGAGACAGTGGCAGCTTATGAGTTCGAAGGGTAACTATTAGGGTCATCTACCGAGATGATTCCCAAAATCCAGATGCCTCCGGACGCTAAACCAGATTCGACAGCATGGACACGGGATAAGCAGTCATTCTCCATATGCATCAACTGCCTAATTTGGCCCCCACTGTTCACATTGACTCGGCAAGAAGTAATTTCTAGCCCAGGTGGCTAACAATATTTGGTTCTAGGGAACACTAGATCTAAGCAGGTTATAGCTGTATGTGCACAAAACTGCTGATCTTGAGCACAGTGTTTCTAAGGAACTCATGTAGTTTAGACGTTTTCTATTATATGTACGTGTTGCCTAGACTACCACAACTCGTAGCGGGATGCGTATGTTACCTAACAGAAAACTGCCTGTCCTTCTGAATGTGAAGATCAGAAAATATCACGTAGAGCCACCAACTAAGTTGTGGACTCAGTGGCCGCGTTTCTTTATTGATCGGACTGCTCGATGGTTCTGATTGTTTGGATTTAGCAACCTTACTACCGAATGTATTAGAATAGCACGGAGGAGTGTTAAGGCCGCGAAACCTGAATTTGCTGGATCAAATAAATCAGCTTAAAGTATACGGCCAGAGCAACCTAACTAATTTTAGCAAAAGAGCCCCATTTTCTGGGGATCTGAATTGCGAAATGACAAGGAGAAGACCACATTGCAAAGAAGAATAAAAACGTTTTCAGAATTAGAAAATAGTTACTAGGAGCATCTTCGCAGGTAATTGTGACAACTGCATGTTGGTTGTTGGTACCTTGTACCCACTTTGGTTATTGCTTGATGTCCTCTCAAGTTACATATCCCTACTGGGTTGTAAGTGGTAAACATTTATCGCTGAGGTTCCTAAGGTCACTTGAAAAAAACACAACAGACATTTGCTTACCCTATTTTTGAATTGATGTGACTAAAATAACGTACATTTCGTATACTGTGACTGCAGCTTTAGATTTCTAGTGGTGTACACTTACCTGACAGACGATGAATACAATGATCACTCCGATGAGCATAATATCCGTATCATGGCGTCGAGTTGGTTTCCGATGAAGCCGTTTTGCAGTGCGAGAGCTTGATTTCCTAACTTCACAAATCAAAAAGCTGTTCATCACAGCAATCGTTAACAATGGCAAGGTGACCACCATGATGTTCCAGGACCACAGATGGTAGTATCGCATGAAGGTGGGAGAACTGCCAAACTCGCTCAGATCATACCAGACAATGCGTAGCATTTGGGATTGATTAGAAACAGCCGAGTCATTGAAAACAGCTTGTTCCCACACACCCACATCTTTCTGGACGTCAGATGGTATAGAAATCTCGAATCCCCGGTATTCAAAGTATCGAGGAAGTCCGTAAATCGTACTGGCCATGTAGATGGCAACGATTACATATCTGGTCGACTGCACAGTGCACCAACGTTTTGCCAAGAATGGGTGACATATCATCAGGTAACGATCTGAAGTAAACGCAACTGTCAGCCACACGGATGTCACCTGACCAAAAAATCGAGTGAAAAAAACTGAAGGTGATTTCTGTCATTTTAAAGCCTACACTTTGAGCATGTCAGCGCAAAAAGGCACGGCGATTAATATTGTAAAACTGCCGGGGGCTCATTCATTTCAATCCCGGATGTCCCTCATCTGACTCAGTGTTAGGGTGTGCTGCATCATACTGGCAACAGACAGGAAATGCACAGTAAAACAGGGAACTCAAAACCGTGAACAATTCGCGTCATTCCAAAGCGACACCAGTGAATAGTCAACCGAACATCCGTTTCAGTCTTCTATTTCGACATCCTTTCCCGCGTGTTACGCGGACACAAAGCTAGCTTAGTAGGCAAATGCATCCACTTGCAAAAGATACTGTGGTGTTGAAAAGAATACGGGTGTGTATGTGCTGTGTACTGTGTCGAAGTTAACGCAAAACTGCAGTCAGAACCAGGATAACATTGCACAACCGGTGCTTACTCTTAGAATGAATAGGGCCGATAATCGCGATCACTGGCATATGAGCTAGAGAGTATTTGTGCATGCGGAACAAGGAGTCAAATATAACGGTTCGATTGACCAAATATGATCCGGGCACCACAGTGGCAGTGCCACGAATTACGTCACCGAAAATGCACTAATAACCAAACAGACATGGGGAATGCGAGATAAGGAAAGCGGGGTCAGTGTAAATATAATAAAGGGTGGCGCACAAAATGTAATACCATTTGTTTTTTTCATTACAAATGTAATATGATAGATGTAATATTGAAACTCGTATTCCGATACGTTGGAAAATCCGGTAGATGTCACAAGAAGTTTGTATTGAATATTTTCTTGGCACCAAACACAATTTTTATGATGATGCATAAGAGCAGATTGAGTGTTGTATAGAAGGTGAAAGTTGTGCTGTTTTTTTACAGAAACGAAGAATTTTGTAGCTACAAAAAGATGTTTCGTGCCCAGTTTTGTACAAAATGGGCTCCATGTAAACCGACTAATCAGAGATTGTATCGTCAATTTGAAACAACTGGCTCTGCGGTGGAGAAGAATCAACGGCGCAGACCAAGTGCCGCACCCCAGGAAACATGGAAAACATGGAAGCTTGAAAGGGGTCGTGAAACTAAATGTTGATCATAGTGAACACATACCACAATGGACTAAATTTCCATGCTCATACAATTAATTCTGCACTAACGCTGTAATATGTTGAGGATGTGCATGCGTAATAAAAAACAAATAAATGACATTTCGTGCGCCACCCTGTAAATATAAAATTAAAATCATCATATGAATCTGCTGTTAGCTGCAAGGGGATGATTGTAGAGGCGCCATTGGCACTGCAGGCGCATGATGTCTGAGTAGTCGATCCTGAGCTCTCAGACAGAAGGCGAAAAGCATCAGCACGGATCGAACGATTTACGTTTCTCAGTAATATTCCGCTACTAAGCGGTCAAACATCAGTAAGTTCAGCCAACAGTAACCTACGTACAACGACGTAGGCGTCCCAAGGCTATAAGGAGGACGTGACATAGTAGATGCAGTGCACCAAGTTCCACAGACGTTCCAGGGATACACTCCAGTCTGTTACAAGTAAGAAAATAACCCCGTAGAGAGCATCAGAAGAAAATGTCGGCTAAGCGAACATGCTGGTTTTTGCTGGTTCGCATCAGGCCAATACACCACGGAAAATAGGAATAAAACTAACACAGAATATTTAAATACGATGAATCAATGAAGTGAATTGACCGGTCAATGAGATCAAGTGACGACACCGGCTAGGGCAACATTAATGGATTACTTAAGCGTGGCGTCGTTACATGAGGCAGCTTGAGGCCATGGTAGCTGAAAAGCCCGTATAAACTTCTTTTGAGCACATAAGTTGGTTATGGAGCCGAATAGCGCTTGCCTCGGCTGTCGCTAATAGGCCACATTGGAGGGGTCACGTGTGGCGTCCAGCTATCCATTGGTGATTTAAGTCGACCAAATTCCACAGCACCGCGCTGGCTACTGTCTTTCTGACACCATTGTAATGTTCCAGGACTCTCAGATAGTCGCCTCGTCGTCTAGACCGGATAAAGGAACCAGGATTGTATTTATGAACAAGCCAGATTGTATTGATAAGCTGAACACTATCCTAGGGGACGCATCGAAATTCCGAAAAGTGCAAAGTGAGAACGACAGGAAGGCGGCAATTAAGAGGACCATGATAAAAGTTTTGCGGCGTTTAAAACAAACTGACATCATAGACTGACATTTTTGAATAAGCCAGACCTAGTGGCACAGTGACTCCGAGGTTTTATGGCTTACTTAAGATCCACAAGCAATGTGTACCGCTGAGACCGATACTGGACATGTACAACTCTCCCTATCATTTGACTGCTATGTGGTATGTCAAACGCCTCGAGCCGGTCAGGAAAGTCATATCCGAGTACAGCCACCGGGACATTTTCGAATTTCTTGACTCGGTACAACAACTCGGTCTAGCTGGACGGAAGATGTTCTTGCTAGATGTGGCGTCTCTTTTCACCAACGTCCCATTAGAAAATATCATTGACTATCTCTTCGAGTTTATCCAATTGCGCAGCAACAATATCAATATCCCAAATGACAGTTTAATGCAACTTATACTGGCGTGCACTAAGAACATTCAGTTTAAGTTCAATGGGACGTTTTACAGACAAATAGACGGGGTAGCTATGGGTTCACAATTAAGATAGCTGCTCGTCGATATCTTCATGAGTAACCTGAAGAATACTCAGCTAAACGAATGTATCAACAACTTAGTTTACTGCGATCGATACGTAGATGACATATTTTGTGTTGCGGATGGTTGGGCATACATTGAAGATCTGCTAGCCCACTTCAACGCTACACACAACAACGTGGTTTTAATTATAGAACTTGAAACTAACAACTTCTTGTCATTCTTAGATATCCACATCACCAGGACATCAGACAGGAAAGTATATAGGAGAGTACACAGGAAGACAACATGCAGCGGCCAGTGTACCCATTTCGCCAGTTTCCTTCCAATGAGTCAAAACGAAACTTCGTCCATTGTCTGACGGAAAGAAAGAAAAAAATATGCACGGAAGTCACACTGTCTGATGAGTTGAGTTTCATTCGAATCTTTCTCGAACAAAATGGTTACCCGGACAAATTCATCCGGAGGCACATGGAGCCACGAGCACCAAAAGTTCAACCAATCACCGCAGAAAAGCTCTGAATCTACTTATCACTGCCTTTCAAGTGTGATGTGATAACAGAACGAACTACTCGAATGTTCTGCAATGCAACCGTGAGAACCTACTTTGCAGCTGACCTCCATGTCAGGTTCAATACTACGCCAGTCGTGAGTTAACGTCTCAAGAACAGGATACCGAAGTCCAATATTTCCTTCTGTGTGTACTATTTTTCTTGCTCGTGGCGTGCAAGTTATATTGGAAAGATTACCAAGCGACTAGCTGAGAGAGTCCTGGAACATTGCCCGGCGTGCCTCTACAGTGGTGTTAGAAAGACAGTAGCCAGCACGGTGCTGTGGCATTTGGTCGACTCAAATCACCAATGGATAGCTGGACGCCACACGTGACCCCTCCGATGTGGCCTATTAGCGACAGCGGAGGCAAGCGCTATTCGGCGCCATAACTCCAATTTATGTGTGTTAATTTTATTCCTATTTTCTGTGGTGTATTGGCCTGATGCGAACCACCAAAAACCAGCTTGTTTGCCTAGCCGTCTTTTGCTGCTGATCTCCTGTCTGTTTCCAAATGCCAACTGGGTGATTTCGGTGAAATTCTCTCGGTTTCCTGCCTACCTGTGAAAAACACCCCATAAACGATTGTAGTCAATGGAACATCGACATTTTCTGATCACCTTTGTAGAGTAGCGTTCAACTTGCTGATTCCTTAGATAACCCGGGTATCACTAGCGCTATATAAATTAATACTGACCATTATACTTAAACTCTACGCGCTGCAAAATGATGCTACAAAAATAGTACCGGTCCTACCAATGCGTGCGGTTAACTCTTCGGCGACTCAACAAGCAAGAATATTACAACCACCTGGGTATTGAATCCTAAAATGATTTACGACATTCGTTCGGTTATCCTAACAACCGGTGAGTTTGTGGATCTTTCTGTCACTGGGCTAGCATTAGAATCAGTTTCCCGAACCGGCGAAGCATGTGCAATGAAATGGTGCAGCTTAATCTTCGTCAGAACCAGGTCACGAACTTTGTCACTGCTAATGTAATCTTATCATCGTACACCAGCAATGCCCTGAAGGAGGCGGTAAGCAAAAACAGACAGCCTCTGAGAATCTTTCGCAAGTGCGACCCGGGTCTCGTAACTACAGAACAGTAGTGCGCCTACAATAGCATTACAGTCTGGGTACCTCAGAGATCGAGGCTGTTGAGTCGGCACTGGAAATGGCATGGATTAAAAAGCAATCTCAGAGCTAAATAAGCACAGAGAAATCTCGTCCGTCAGTGACAAGGCAGCTTCCAAAGCACATAAAGTTGCCTGTCAGTTCTAAAGAATAACCGAAAAGGATAAGAGTGCAGCTGTTTTCTGGCCAGTCCTACCGTATGACTTTTCACTCCGAATAGGGTGGAGATCATTCTGAACTGGGAAACAGACAGCTTTAGACTTCTATCTACCATGGCAACTGGAGCAAAGTATGAGAGCACAACTACTAGGAATGGCGTACACTTATTCAATCGGCATTCTGAAGCTGTAGAGAATGCAAAGTCACAACCTATCAAAGTGTGCCAGAAGGCATGTATCTGATAGGGCTGAAATGCTCCACAAAAGATGTTGTATGATCATTCATTTATGATTAGTAATTGTCATATGGATCCTTTTCAGTGATTCACACACAACACCGTTTTCAATGATTCATCTACTGGTCAGGATGGTAGTTGGTTCAGATGTTTCTTCAGCTATAAGTAGGTCAGTGGTTAGACAGCAAACAGTTCGCCGAAATCTTTCCCCTCAGATCGAT